TGGATGTAGGTATGTCCGATACTGTGGCTGTGAGTCATCTCTGCACATACATGTAACAATCCAACTTAATGCGTAAGTTGTTGCTCATCCTCGATTGAAATGACTGCAATGCTTTTTTCTGTTTATTATCTATCTATATTTTTATGTACTTTCATCTCTTTCTTCTCCTCTATATACTTTGGAATGGCATTATTAGTTTGTCCTTCTCTCGCACAGAGTGTTGTCTATAATAGAAATAGCCGCAATGTCTCTTTCCGTTTGTTATGTTTATTGAGCAAGAATATTTTTGATCCCAAACCAAATACTTTCGTTCACCAAATTAATTTAGATACATTTGATCACCAAATTTTTCAAGCAATCATTTGCGCTTCATGTCTTAACAAATGGTGCGAGATCTTCTTCTAGTGAAAATCCACAATTTTCTCCATACCCTCACTCGGACCTACATTCTCAATAGACCCTCATTTGCATCGTCATCCACACCCATTTTGATAATCCTTAATAAAATTCAACTTTATTTCGTGATTAAATTTTTACAGATGAAAACAAATATGAATTTTTTCTAAGGATACTCGTACTTTAATCACTAATTATTTCGATCATGAACTACTCGACTTGATTATACAGTAATTGATTTGATCGCTAATTCCTCTTTCTTTTTATCTCCAGAAACAATGGTGCATGTGGATATAGCGTTATATACGTATATTGAGTAGAAGAATTGGACAAGACAATATGAAAAAATACAACTCGAAAAATTTGGTGATCAAAAGTATTTTTTTCCATGTTTATCTCATATGTGCTTTGGAATGGTATTATTAGTCTGTCCTTTTTCTCGTACATAGTGTTATTCATAAAAGGAATAACCGCAATGTCTTCCTCCATTCGTTATGTTTATCTTGTTCTTCTCCTATATGTACTTTGGAATCGCACTGTCGATATATTCTTTCCTCTAAATTTGTTCTTACATCACGTATCTTTCTGTTATTATATTTACTGTATTTTTCAAGGCCCTTCTATGCTAGGAAATAGTATATAAGGAACGAGAAAAATACAGTATAGTTACGATTTTGATTATACTAATAAAGTTTTAGGATAATAGCCCTTAAATGGTGTCTATTATATCTGAAATTGTCACACCCACACTTCCACGTAAAATATATAATTAGTCATTAAAAAAAGCCATCCCTATATTGATGATAAATTTAAAAACTGGATTGAGACGGCATTGACAAAATTCAGTTTATGTGAACGTGACAATTAGTTAAATATTTCAAACACATATAATTATTCGTTTTTTTAAAATGTGTTCTTATGATGATGATGTTTGTTTGAGAAATCGACTACAACTTTTTCTTCGATAGCTTTCAAAACATGCATCGTTCTATGTATTACATGCTTGTTCATTTGCACGTTGTTGATACCTCTCACCTTATTTCTTTTATTTAACGCGTCGCATACTCTTTCTCTCTCTCGTTCTTTTCTTACATCACCGTTACTTTACGTACGATTCGTGCGCCAGCTCACACTACCTGGTGAGCATGCATTAGAAAGAAAAAAAACAAGCATAGCTATATATAGTGAGGTATACAACATATTTTACATTACATTTTTTATAAGCAACATACAATGGCTCATCAGCGTTTGGTAACCGTAGTTGGAGCTACGGGTGCACAAGGAGGTGCCATTGTACGATCATTAGTTCAAACGGGCAACTACAAGGTAAATAAATTAATCTATGTTGTTAATTTTTAACTACCCGTGCTCTTTTTTCGAAAGATTCGTGGCTTAAATTGTGATGCAACAAATGAAAAAGCTCAAGCAATAAAACGTTTGAGTGATCATATTGAGATGGTCACATGTGATATCAATAAGAGAGAGGATGTTCAACAGGCATTTAAAGATTCATGGGCTATCTTCGCTCTAACAGACTTTTGGGCACAACTCGATCACCCTGAGATCGAAGTCCATCTGGGTAAACTAATGGCTGATGTTGCTGCTTCTCTTCAAATTCCATATTATATATACAGTACTCTTGAAGATACTATGAAACTAAGCAATGGAAAACAGTGAGTTTTCTTCTTATAAACTACTTTCTTACAGTATATGTTTGAATATATGTTTAAGTGACGTGCCACACTTCTCACAAAAAGCTCAAATACGCGATTATATCAAAGAAAAATATCCAACATTGAAAGCAATCTATGTCGAACCTGGATTCTACATGCAGAACTGGTTAAGCTTTTTCAAAGCTCAAAAATCAACTGATAGTACGATGGTTTTTGCACTGCCTATTGACGAAAAGACGACATTGCATATGGTGGACATCGAAGATACTGGCCCAGTTGTTTCGAAAATTTTGGAAGATCCCGAAAAATATGTTGGCAAAGATATTTGCATTTGTGGCGAAGCTATTCGATTTGGTGACATTCCAAAAGTTTTCACTAAAGTAACCGGTGTTCCAGCTACAGCAAAAACATTAACGGAAGAAGAATTTCGATCAAGAATTCAATTCTTGCCGAAAATTGCACAAGATGAAATAATTTCTATGTTCAAATGGTTTGAAGAATACGGCTATTATGGCAAAGATAAAGATTGGACATCGGGACAAAAGTTAACGGCATTAAATACATTCGAACAATGGCTTAAAAAAACTGGTTGGAAAGGTTAATACTTGGCTACAATAATATTTGACCACTAAAAACAAACAATGCTCATTCATGATGATTATGTAGTGTAGCTGCTTTCTATCATAATAAATGACACATTTACTAATTGGGAAAGATTCAATTTCCGATTCTTATAATACATTTTCTTCGAAAACCGTCTCTTTAGATATTTCAAATAGAACAAAAATTAAAAAATAACATACTAGCATAATCTGATAGACGATTCATATGAGATTTATGAATTGAAGGTGAATGAAAGCGAAGATGAAAACAAGTTCATACATTCACCCGCATACCGTATATTAGAGTATGACAGTTTCCAAAAATGCCTAAGGTCGAAACTGAAACTAGGTTTAGTTCCAAGTTTCCATTAATAGAAGTGAAAAACCAGTTTCGATTTCGATTCCTAAAAAGTATACTTGTCACCGTTAATCTAGTTATTATATAGGAAATAGTTAATATTTGTTCACTAGAAACATCTTTAAACTCACAATGAAGATGTTGTCAATTAAATAAATGTGTCACTCGCATCAAAATTTTCAATTAGACATCAAATGTTTTCCTTCTTCAACCAAGAAAGATTTATTTTAATGCATATGCAAAAAGCATCAAAGAAACAAACTACAACAGTAAAAGTTGTTTTTCAATTCTTTTCTAGAGACAAATAAATAATTTTTTTTTCTTTTGATGAAGATTTTCATTTAGTGCAACAAACAAATGAAAAATTTACTCGTATAAAATTCATACAAAGATGACGTTATATAGAAGACTCTATGACTTAACACCATAGTCAATATCTATGAATTAAATTTATCCTATGCGTGTTAAATTTTACAGATTGTTCAGTTCTTCCGTTGAATGGTACAATTCAAAGAATAGTACTATGACACGCTGAACTCTAACGAAATAGCAAAGTTTTAATAGTCAGATGATAAAAACTACATATGTTCTTTGGGTATTGTTTTGATTGTATCTTTCTATGCCCTTAATTAATTTCCATCAATGATTCAAATTTTAAACAGGCAGTATGAATAAAAACGCTCTGCCTTTTTCTAACAATATAATTAAGCTATTCCTGTCAAAATTATGGTTTATATCAAGAAATTGGAACTTCAAAGATTTATCATCATGTGAATTCTTAGTTTTAGAAAAATTACTGTTTATGATGATATACTAACATGTAATCAGACTCTTCTCCTAATTACCTTTCATTGCATTATTTTTTTCATTGATCTGCATGCATACTGATTGGTTTATACCTGCAATTTCAGGTAATTATAATAGATGAAAAGTGGTAGAAGAAATCTTTGAGAGTAGCTCCTGTGAAAACACCTCTCTTTTAGTTCAATACTATCCTACCAAAAACATTGACAGGATTATTGCAGAGAAAATATAGTAATAGACTCAGACCAGTGTATCGCTACTATTTTGCTCGAGATAAAAATCCCTTCTCAATCGAAAATGATATGTGCTCTGACATTGTTGTGCAACAACAGATGATTAAAAGATTAGAATGGATTAGCAACATAGATCTTAGTTTGTACCTTTTTTTACCAAGATGTATCTTGTGGAATTCATTTCCAACAATAAAAATAACCACTTAGACCAGTTTCTTTGATTGAAAAGAATGAACAATACAACGTACAAAGTATTACTCTCTTTTTCTACAATGAACTAAATTCTTCTTCATATAATATTTTCTCTTCTCATTGGTCACCATCTCCTCTCGCTTTGTCTTCTGTTTTTTTCTTTTTCTTTCTTTGTTCTTTGTCTTTTATATATCCTTTCATCTGTATTCTTCTCTTGTCTTTTACTGTAGTCTTTTTATTTTTTAATAGCAAATACTCTAATACACGTGTGCTTTTATTACATTCCTACTATCTGCTAACACAAAAAGCTATGCATGCTTATCATTTTCATTTTATATGTCCTTCTGCGTAGAAAAATAAACCACGTAGACACGAAAAAACATGATTCTGATGTATACTACTTTCTTTTTCCTCTCGTGACGTCAAGGCACAACTGTTATTTCTTTCATTCCTTCTATTCTTTTCTACACATGGAATATAGACTTTTTCTTTCGCAAGAACAAAATAAAATTACGACACACCACTGGAAAGCAATTATAAAAAGACCTTGATTTGAATTATTTTACATACGTGCACTATGGCTACTATTATCAAACAAAAGTCTATTACTATCAAATGTTCGAATCCATCAACAAACGTTGAATGTATAACATGTATGGCTCTTGAATCAAGTGCAAAAATATATTCTGTCAATATGATCTGAATCTATTCGAATACTGCAAATTTGTCAAAAGATGATTTTATGCCATCCGATCAATTACAAGCTACTCTATCGAATACTCTCAATTATTTTCCTATATTAGCTGGTCGCACTACAGAAGATGAGAAAGGCAACGTCACCATTCATTTGACAAATGAAGGTGTTCTCTACACCGAAGCAGAATGTTCAAATCAAAATTTAGATTATTTTATACCACGAACATATCAAGACGAAGGATTTGATTATGAACATATCAATACAAGTGATTTAGCTGTAAGCGTTAAAACCGATTGTACAAGACCTTGCATGTCGATACAAGTGACGCGTCTCAAGTGTAACAGCGTTATTCTAAGTATATCAGCTTTTCATTGTTTAGTGGATGCACACAGCATGGGACATTTCATCAATGCATGGGCTTCTGGAAAGCCATCACAAATGATGCCAATGCTCGACAAAAATTTCATTTTATTTCCTACGGAACAAGAACGACAACGGATAAGTTCTTTGAGTCGACCAAAGGACTGTGTTTTCAATCGAAATATCCCTCCCATATCAGGTACACCATTCATTCAAGTACAACAACAACGTGTGATTTCCAGAGTTTATTTTTTCTCTGCGAATGAACTAAATAATATTAAAAAAGAAGCATCAAAAGACGTATCAAAATCAGCTGATTTCATTAGTAGCTACGACGCTCTTTATGCTCATATGATTTTAGTAATTGCAGCAGCCACTCAAACTTCATTGACTGATAATATCAAAATTTTACAATCACTTAATGGTCGATCACGTTTCATTTCTTGTTGTTCACAAGCCGTTCTTAACTACTTTGGTTCATTTCCATTTTGGCTCTATGCGGAAATACCATCAGATCAAGAACCAACTCTTGCATCATTAGCACAACTAATTCATGAAATGTATTCAAAACAAACAGAACATTCATTGAGAGAATATAATGCTTATTTAATGAGTGGCGATGGTGATATAAATAAAAATCGAGCAGATGCAGATATAATTAATCGTGATTTTTATTGTTCATCATGGCGAAAAGGAAATATATACGGTGCTAATTTTGGTAATAGTGGATTTCCTATCTACAGCGGACCAACTGATCATTTATATCCACGATATTTTGCAATGATGGATTCATATGCAAGTGATGGATCAGTTAATATTATACTCGGGTTGAGAGAGCAAGACTATGAACGAATGATACAACAAAATATGTTGCATAAATATCGATAATTTCTTATGAAGATATTCTAAATAGTCTCATTTGATCGATGATTGATTGTTAATTTACAAATTCATTTAAAAATAAACGATTTAATTAGATCTAATGCCGACATTCCTATGTATCATAGTAACGGGATAAAGATAAGAAAATATAGCAAGGACGTGGGTGTGAAGGTTATAATACTGTGAATCTGCTATTCATTCATTCATATTTTTTCAGAAACAAGATTAAAAAACATTAAAAATTTCGAATGAAAAATATTTACTTTTTATTAGTTAGTCTTCTAGTGTCTTTTTCTTGTTTCATATTCAGTGAATTATATTCATAATTATGATTCATTTTGATTGTATCGTCCATATCCTTTCATAAGCATTTTATATAATTTTAGATTTAAAATTGCCAAGATAATCTATCTATCGGTTGCAAATGAAAGATGATCATTTATAAGATGTTGTTATAAATATAGTTAATGAAGCAAAAAAGAATGATAAAATGCTCGAATGAATGATCATTTACGCTCATAATTTTGTATTTTAATATATTTTCACAAAATTTATCGTAAACGATTATTTTGTCCGACTTCGACAACAGTAATAATTTGCTGAATGATTTCTACATGTAACATGCAATTAGATTATTTCTCACGTTCTAATGTCTAAGGAAAAAATTTAAAATTCTATGCAGAACGTATTGTCATAATTATTATCGCTTTTTGTACAATACTACTTGGTAACGATCACCTGTCGCATATTTTCTTTTTATTTTTTCTTAATATTATTTCTTTTTTTAGTTACCAAAAAGAAAAGAAATTCATTAGGTAGTTTGATTTTACCGTAGACAGGTAGCATGTTTGTAAGTATTTAACAATGTCAATATTGAATTCTGTACTTGCATGCTTCGTGAAAAATCGATTACTTTTCACTACACCCAAGCGACATGGCATAAAGATGTTTGTTCATTTTTCTCTTAATAACATTGATAAATATGCGTAAAGTGAAAAGAACTTCATTAACAACAAACGAAAAAATCATTCCAAAATAAGAATACAATCGTACGTAAAAAAAAAATAACACACATTTCTCACTAGAAAATAAAAATTAGTGAATGCCACCAAAATATTCCAAAGCTGTTGGCACTGCACACTAGAAACTAGTTAGTGGAAAGTCTAAATCTTCTGAAAATCATAGAACAAAGGTATCAAAAACAAAGTTCTGAAGAAAACATCGAAAAAAAGAAAAGTCAAAAAGAAGATTCTTCACACACGACAACGTCGGCCTGGTGTACTTGAAAATTTTATCATTATTTGGTTAGACTCAAACATTAGTTTATCCGACATAGACTATCGAAATTCGATTAAACAACTACGACGTATCGTTAATTATATTAATACATTCACACAGATTAAACAATACATTATGTTGATATTGTCTACTGATGTTTTTGTCCGGTTTGAATCATATTGGAGCTCACGAGCTTCTTTTTTGTTTGAATTCGCAGTTGTTACCAGATTGATATTTCAGTCGAACAAGCATTACAAGAAAAGAATTTTTTTAATCGGTACTATGGTCAAAATCAAGCTCAAGCCAAATGATAAGACAAGGTTTGAAAGCATTATTCATAGATATATTTTAGTTTAAAGTGCAAAACTAACCATCTCACCAATTTATAGTTATGGAAAATACTGGAACACTATGTTGCTACGATATTCTGAACATTGTTTTATAATTGGAAAATTTTCATGATTAAACCGAGAATTAAAATTTCAATCACATTAGTCTATTTTATTTGTCAGACTTTGTCAATTTTGAACACAAAAAGCTCTAGTCAATTGACGTTTGAGTGTTCAGAAACGAGTCTTGGCATCAATCCAAAGACTTCGGTATCATATTTTATTTTCTAAATATCCTATTCCTATGTGATCATATGATTTGTAAATAGCCTGCAAGGTGTATTGATTGTTTATCGTGGACAAGGTATGCAGAATGATGACTTAAAGAAATTATTGAAACGTCAAGGTGATCTTTTATCATTTAATAATTTTTTATCAACAAGTACTGGTCGACAAGTTTCATTAACTTTTGCAAGTTGTGCACAAAATGATTCAAATATAACACCAATTCTTTTTCAAATGGAAATTGATCCATTAATTTCATCAACTTCTTTTGCTTCTATCAGTAATTATAGCTATTATATCGATAGAGGAAAAGAAATTCTTTTCTCAATAAATACGGTTTTTCGAATTCAAGAAATGAAAAAAACCATGACAGGAATATAGAAAGTCAATCTAAAATTAACAGATGATAATGATGAACAACTACAAAGTCTGACTGATCATATTCATCATGAAACACGTGGTTTAACTGGTTGGCACCGATTAGGTTCATTAATGATTGCTATGGGCCAATTTGATAAATCTGAAGAATTTTATACATCAGTATTTGAAATGACATCTGATGATAATTGGACAGAACTTGCTTATCTTCATCATCAATTTGGACGCATTCATGATAAAAAAGGTGATCTTGAAAAAGCTCTTGATCATTATGAAGAAGCACTTGATATTCAATTAGATAATCTTTCTTCAGATGATCCAAGTCTTTCAATGACTTATACTGGTATTGGCTCGATTTTGCTTGCTCAAGATGATTTCGATGAAGCATTAGGACATTTTCAACATGCTCTTGATGTCGCTCTTCGAAATCAAAATTCTGATTTATCGGAAATTGCAACTATACATAGCTACATGGGTGGAGTAATTCACGAACAAAAACAATATATTCAAGTACTCAAAAGTTATCAAGAAGCTCTTACCATTCGGCAAAAGCTTCTACCACCTGCTCATCCACTATTAGCTACTATTTACAATAATATCGGCTTATTACGTGAAGCAATGAATGATCATTTGAAAGCATCCTCCTTTACAGTCATCTATATAGAAGATCCGCAAAATGAGGTCAGCAAAGACTGTATATTTTTGGACAGAAGAGCTAATATCAAGCATAACTATGCTTCTTGACACTTATTACGGTATTTTAGTTGTTTTTAAAGTATTTTTAACAAAAGTTTACAGCTAAGTTAGTTTTGAACAATTTTTGTAAAAGAATAATTCGTCAGAATTCTATGCCGCTTCATCTACGAACAGATGAATAAATTAAAAGATACATCGATTATTTTTTATCCTTGTCAACAAACAGATTTTTTTTTCTACTTATTTATTCACATTGATAGGAATATTATTCTATGTTGTCGTATCATTGTTCTTGAATACGAACTAGTTCTTCTTTCTTATTATATGATGCTGATTAACATAAAGTGTGCTTGAAAAACAAGGTATAAACATTACAATAGACTGTTTTGCTTACTGTTCAAGAAATGTGCGTATTATTTGTTTCTCATTTACACTCTGAACGAAGAATTTCACAATTAAGTTTCGTCAAATCTTATCAGAAGAGTTGTTTTATTCAATAAGATTCTAAACAATCAAAAGATTTAATTTTTATTCGATTATGATCATCATCAAGTATGAAGATCTAGTAAAAAGACTTCTGACAAAGTCTCAAAGAAAGCGCTTGAGATTGTTAGGATTCGACAGAATTTGATAGGCATAAGTTTGATCTGTATATACAGATCATTTTTTCTTTAGATAAACTTAGTCAATTGGTCATTGTTTAGTGGAAACAACCTAGATAGTTGAATAAACAAACGCTTTCTAACAAATTTTACGAAGTTAATCTCCACGAGGGAAGACTATTCAAAAGCGGGTATTTTTGAATAGAGACAAGGGCAGGTATTAGCCTGAAAATGCCATCAATAATGAAACATCCTTGATGGATGAGCTCTTTTATGAAAAAGCACTTAAAAGTCAGCAAAAATCACTTCCATTCAATCATCCATCATTAACTGCGACTTATCATAATATGTTTGAAGTACTTGAACGTTTATATCGAATATCAAACACGTGCTGTTGATATTGTACGAGTTGCAAATGAACCTAATCATCCTCTGAGAACAACAGAAGAAAATGATCTAAAAAAACTTCAAGAAAAGTTATAATTTGATATTTATTTAGAAATTGAATGATAAAAATATCATAAATGAAATATATTTGTATTTATAAACGAATTAACATTTGATGTCAGATTGATTTGTTGTTGTTAATGTTGGCACCATTGTACTTGATGCTGTTACTGGATCAATCAATGGTTAATAACATATATAATGATCTGCATTTCTATTTAATGTATGATCATGATCAGTTGAAATTGAATGATAATCCTCAGTTAGTTCCAAATTATTATCAGTTATAAAATTGTTACAAAATGATTCAAAATCACATTGAAAATTAGCATGAACTGAGCTGATCAGAAAAAAGAATAACAATAAACATCTTGAACATGAACATTAGGTTTTCTGTCACAATAGTTTTACTAAGAACACATTCTAAAAGATAAAATATGACAAATAAATTAGATAAAAACAAGTTAGCAAGATAAGAATCAAAACACGATCTATATTGTTGGATTTGTTCCACAAAGTACATTAATAAAGCATGAAAAAAAAACATGTTTTTCTGAAAAAAAAAACCTAACAACCAAAGACGTATATCAATTAACAACATGTATCTGCTGTTTAAATGGTAACTCAATATATAAAAACGGAGCTTACGGACTATCGTACACATGTCAAGATATTCATATCAATGTGAATAAAACATATTGCTAAACAACTATTGAAATCACATTTTTGTTCATAATCAAAAGATGTAAACTTTTCCATACTCAGATACTAAAACAAATACAATGCATACTCTATCTCTCTACATTTAGATTTTCCTTTTTAATTTATGCGTTAAAAGTTCTCATCAATAGGATTGATTGACTTTTATTTTTAAAATAAATTATCAAATGTAGATCGATTCATCAAGATCTTCAACATATCAATTCTTAATTCACACAGCTGAAAATCGATTCCATCATAGAGAACATTCTTTTTAGTTCACTTATTCACATTATTTTTGACTGATTAATAAGTGATTTAGATATACACTTAACAAGACAGATTTCAATAGACATTAAATTTGATGAATTCATAAGTTTTCATTGAAAGTTCATTTGATTATAAATGTAAGCTGCTCAGCTGAGCCACAGTTCATGAATGCAAAAGTTTCCAGATATCACAACTAGCAACATTGAAACACCTTACAGCTGTGATCGTCACCGTCAAAAAGGAAAATATAATTAAATATCGTCAGGAATTGTTGGCACAACATAAAACTACATGATAGGATTTATATTTAAAAGGTTTCGACCGATACGATCATTCTCCCAAGAGATCTTTTTATCAGTATCTTTACCATTGACATATTTTTGTTTTTTTACTTTTAAAAAATTTTAGAACAAAAAAAAATCATTTTAAAAAACTGGAAAATTTTTACTTGTTTCTTTGTTCTTTCCATCATCTCCCTGACTAAGAAGTCATATATCTTGAACCGTCATAAGCTTTCCTAGCATCTATTAATACTTCTATGCATAGTTTATTGAAAGTACAGTGTCATTAACATCAACACACATGGTAAGATCGTATATAAAGTTTTCAATTATGAATATTATTTATATAAAAATTACTGCTGATTTTGTATGTCTTCTATTTTTCTGATTTGATCGACCTTGTATCATAAGTCTTCTAATGTTTGAATGAAGTTATTGAATTTATTATTCTACTGCGTTTAAATGTCATTTTATTTATGGTGCTTTTCTCTGTTTCATCACATTTAAAGAATAACTATTTTCTGAAAATCAATGATAACAAAGATGTGTTTTTCTGTCAGATCTTTCTATTGATGAAACTCCATCATTAATGAATCAAAGTGTATTATGATTTCATTAAACGTTATACGACTTCGCAGCTGACGATAAAATGCTTCGCGTTCAATTACATCTAGTTTCGGATTGTTTTACGTGTAATTATTTGAATAAAGCAACGCAACGTGTGGGCCACATTTATTTAAATTTTTACAACATGATGAAAATGATGTTGTCTGTTTCTTACATTTTGAACGTGTCGCATAGAAAGAGTTTATTTTTTAAGAATGAAAACAAGATGATGGGAGTTATTGATTAATAATAAGCTAAAAAGAAAATATGGAGAACGGACAAATGTATATCTCTTCAAAGGAAATTTGTTTCATTTGAATATTCTTTGAGAAAATACATGTCTGTTTTGTTTTCATATCAAATATAAAATATGAACTAGAAACTTTCTAAGATAAAAAGTAATTTCAATACAAAATTCTTGTTCGTGCAAATCAATTGTTTTAATAATATGATATTTTGATTAGCACAGTGTTAATGGAAAAGATAAGTGTTTATATGAAAATGTAAAACACGAAAGTTCCACTTTTTTTTATCGCCGTAAATTTTCTAAACTATATAAATAGGATATTTCAAAAGCTCGGTCGAAACAGTAAACGTGAATGTCTCCTTAACTATTTACGTAAGCTTTTTATAGTTTTCATCCAATATTCATTGATCTTTTATTTCACATAAATTGGTCTCTAGTAGATGTACAAAATGAAGACTAATAAATGAAATATATAAGCCTACCATTTTCGAAAATATCTGCAAAAACATCATTTAATTTTTAGTTTGAAATCGTTTTTTGATCTTATTACGGATTTCATTTTTCGCTTAACGAGGTCTTCAGCAGACGCCATGAACGCATAGAACTATCAAAATTCTTAAGTAGTGTTGACGAGTCAACTTTTCTTGAATAACGTTAGAGAATCATGTGATTGGACCATTTTTCTTTGCGGTAAATTATCAATGGAGAAAAAACATTTTACTATGCTTTAAGTTTCTTTTTTTTGATCCAGAATTAAGAAGATTATGCTTGATGAGCTTCATACTATTTCACGTAGATGTAGTTCCTCCGCACTTTTAATCTCGACAGTTGTCAATATTCGAGGAGAGTTCTCCAAGCAAGTGAAATTAAAGAAGCAATTCATTTTTCACAAATATAATGCTCGACTGAGCTGAGGTGACTTAACTTTTTTTTATAGGAACATATAGAAAATAATTTGTACAGATAATTTTATCAAAAATCTAGTATCAGTAGAAAATGAAAAGTCAGAAGAAAATCAAAAAGCTGAAAATTAGATGATGCTCTTACAAATATTTTCAAAAATGATGGGTTTATATTTCATTTATTAGTGTTCATTTTATACATCTACTAGAGACAAATTTATGTGAAATAAAAGATCAATGAAGATCGGATGAAAACTGTGAAAAGCTCACGTAAATATTTTGAACAATCAAGAAGATATTCATGTTTCCTTTTTTTAACTAAACTTTTGAAAGATCTTCCATGTAAATAAACCATCATGTTATAAATGAATCCATGAATGTTGCTTCCTCGACATCTTTTCTTCCATAGTACTCTGTTAGAACTACTAGCAATTAAGAGCTAATTAGAAATATGCTGTAAGTATTTGCCAACATCATCCTCAACCCTTATCTTTAGTCTTCAATGTTAATGAAACATCAGTTTAGAAAATAAATATCACTAGCGAGCAACGCCGATTTTCTGCAATACATTGATAAGAGTATTATTAATTGATATAACATCTAAATTGATGGATTACAATCCATGGATGTCTGATAGCCTAATGCAAGCACTGATTACCTGTTTTATATCAAATTTAAACAGTTCATATTTCAACTTCATAACATTTCTCTTGGAATTAATTAATTATAAATAAATTCTTATGTATTATTATCATTCTTTAGAAATTCTAATAATAAGATGAACAAAAGAAAAATACTACCCATAGTAAAGTTCTAATAAAATGATTCTGTGCGTCACTAGAAAACATCAAAAGTTTCATAATTAAAGGACGATATGAATAGATATGTAATGAAAACTTTTCTATAACATTATTCTTTGTATTTAATTCCAGTAAGCAAATCAAAGCATGCTCGAATATATACTTGTAATTTAAGACTAGATAAATGAAAAGAAGCTTCTTTCAATTAAATAATAAGAGTAAGTACTATTTTTTCGTTCATTCTTTTCTCAGGCTTAAATAAAAAAATCTTCCAAATTCTAAAAAAAATAAATGATTATTACAAATTCAGATAATCAAAACATGTCATCATTACCTGCGATGCATACATTGGAATTGACAGAAATCTATCTCATTCGTCATGTCTGTATAGCTTTACTTATTTTCGGTACATTGGGCAATATACTTAATTTTTGCATTTTCACACGGTCAAAACTTCGTTCAGTTTCTTGTTCATGGTATTTTGTTGCAGCAACATGTAGCAATTTTATTGCACTTTATATGGGATGTTTAATACGTGTCTTAGCAACATTTGACGTTAACCCTCGAACACCACTAGAATCAGCTATCTATTGTAAAGTTCGCTCCTATTTCACCTATGGTAATTTATCTTTATCAATTTGGCTTGTAGTTGGGGCTTGTATTGATCGATGGGCATCAAGTTGTATCAGTGTACGCATACGATCAATTAGCCGTGTTAAAATAGCTAAACGAATTATTTTAAGTATTTCTTTAATTATTTACCTTGCTTATGCTCAAATGTTCTTTTGTTTCGATGGCTCATATAAATCGTCTTCATCAAATTGCTTTACTAAGTCAAAGACATGTGAACTGTACAATAGTTTTGCACTTTTGCTTACTTACTCTTTTTTTCCTTGTTTTCTCATGTTAACGTTTGGTTTATTAACTATTCGAAACATACGATGGACACACCGACGACTAGCTGCCATAGATAACGTACTACACAATCGAAATAAGAAAAAGTCAACACAAATGACTGTTATGCTTCTTGTTCAAGTCATTTGTTCCATCATTCTTTCGTTACCAATTTCTTTACAAAATATTTATAATGAAATGACTCGAAACTCTAGAAAACCGCAGAAACAACAACAAATGGAAAATTTTCTTGGTATTCTCTTTATACTTATTACGTTAGTGAATAGTGCAATACCATTCTACATTTTTACATTTACAGGAAAAATGTTTCGAGAAGAATTGAAACGATTATTACCTTGTCGATTTAGAGTTTCTACTATTTCGCCAATAGCATGACTTTCTTTTTATCAATGATATCTAAAATTCATGAAATAAAATGGTATTTCTCTCATTTTGATTCTGTGTTAAAAAACCATTAACATGTTTATGGATCCATAATGCAATTCTAAGCATAAAAATAATTTTTTGTCTAATAAATTTTTCAGACTCTTCTCATTCAAAGTTAGTACTTGGTGAAGTTGAAATTAAGTATATCATTTATAAAAGTTAGGATGTGAGTGTGAATGAATGTAGATCTGCATGCAAGTGTAAGTGGATATGAAGCTTTTCTTCAGTGTGATATCTATACTCACACTCACACTTATAGGAAGTAGCTATCGTAACTGATGAGCCTTCATGTCGAATTTATCAATCAAATCCAACACAGAGTCTTAACTTAAACTTACGACAAATTTATGAGTTTTAATATTCTTTTTCTTAAATTCCAACTTTTCAAGTGTAATACAACTGTATTTTTTTTTAGATATGATGAAAATATCAACGTATTATTGAAATAGATATGTGTACAGGTACTTCCCACTATCCTAAAGTGGATGCACACTTTCATGTGAATATATGCGCCACTTCTTAAAAGAAGCATGATTACAATATCATTATTATATTTGAAAGCTTGCAACTTTATTTCAGCACTCTCATTAGTCATCTGCTGTAGTATATTCTAATTTAGCTATTAAAAATTAAAGTATACTCGTTATAAAATAAAATGTTGTTATTTAATATTGATAATAAAATTTCTATCCAGTAAGTGCTCTATTTTTGATTATTAACAAATGATTGATGACATAAAATAACATTGAACGACTTAGAATACAAACTTATCGATAAAATGAAAAAAAAAGAGGTGAATATAATTCAAGTTACAGTCAAATATTATGTCGATTGTAATAATTCTTTAGCCTTTGCATTTCGTACGAGACATGATAATAGAAATATATAAATAAAAGTACAGACAATCAATGTTTTCTTTTTCAAATCATCTTCGATTGAAATACGCTTCTTATAAACACGAAAAAAACTATTTTTTTATCGACATCAACGTCGAAACAAACTAATAATTCAATAGATTCGCGGCATCTGTTGATGCTTTCTACAGAATAAAGTGATGGTAAACATTTCATTTCCTGGGCATCGCAAGGCGTAAATGGCTACCAAGGTATTTCTTCTAGGCACATGGTGCACTTATCTGAAGTGGTACATTGTTAATAAAACTTCAAACATTTATTGTTTGTTTCTTTTTTGCTGCTCATTTCAGGTGAGTTTGTGCTCCACTGGTGCTTGACGTAGAAGACTATGGCTACAGACGTATTAGTGTCAATGAACGATAAAACTCAAGAACAAATAAAAGAAACTTATGAAAATGAGTCTAGTGAAAATCTTTCAATCAATACGAGCAAAAATGGTAATAACTCGATAAACAAATAGGACGTATGGAATTGATAATTATTTTCGTTTTTTAGATACTAACAAGAAACGTAATGGAGTTGACATCGGAACTACTACAGTATCAGTTGGTGTTGGTCGAGATGTAACATCAGCAATGAGAACTAAACAACAACCAACAAGCACAAGCATAGGTGATGAATGTGTACGTTATTTGGTTAAATAAATAATTAGAAACTACCAATGATTGTTTCTTTTGAAGACGTATGTAGGTGATATATATGCTGATAAAAAGCATGGTAAAGGTATTTTATCCTGGTCTGATGGTCGAATATATAAAGGTGCATTTTTTGCTGATAAACGACATGGTTTTGGTACTTTTCAAACTTCAGATATTTTAGAGTTTAAGGTTAAATAATTTTTAACTTTGACTAAAAAGAGAATTTTTTTATTAGGGTCTCTATCGTCAAGATGAACGATTTGGTCCCGGTATTTTAATGTATAAATCTATCCAAAGTGCTGATGTAGGTTTCTGGTTAAGTGAAGATCTTGTTCGTCTTCTTTATCCACATCCTACGCTTAATTTTGATATTGATATAACTGATAAAAAATTTCCAAATGATTCTTCATTTATTATACCATCATGGTATTCAGCTCAAGAATTACTTACAACTTCAATTGATCTTGATTCTATGTTAAAAAATAAATCAAATGCTTTATTTTGTAAACGTATTGAAGATGAAAATGTTTCTTTAACTCGTTATTTAATTGAACGTTTGGATCGAGTTGATGATGCTATGCATGAAAAACGTGCACAACTTGATGCTTATTTAGCAAGTTTAAATAATGATGATTTATTAAAAGACATATTTTCAAATGAAAGAATGCCTGATATTTCACCACCAAATGAAACATATGAACAACGACAATTATTTTATTATACAAATAAATTTTGGCCATTAAAACAACGGGCAACATTTCCTATTGATGAAGTTTTATCAAGTAGAAGAAAAGAAGGAGAAATTATTCAATGCTATTTGAATTTTATTATTATTTTTTTTTTATGTAGATAATCGTTCATCTTTTCCAAATCCTGGTCCATTAGAAAATTCTTCATTATCTTTATTGGAATCAGCATTTAATGGTCAAGCAAAAACTGTACGTGATCTTCTTATGCATCGTCGAGTTTATGTTGATGTCTGTGATTCTCACGGTTTAACTGCTTTACATTTTGCTACATATAATGTTCATATTAATGTTGTAAATCTACTTCTTGATTTTGGTGCTAATGTTAATCAATTATCGGACGATAGATTGACTCCATTAACTATTGCTTTTCTACTTTATTATGGAAATGATCCACAACAAACAATTAATACGGCTTTAGAACATGTAGATCCTATTGTTTTGACTTCGAAAGCTATATCTGTAGCAGATACAAGACGATCAAGTTCAAAAAATAGAGGATTACAAAGTAGAGCAACAACAAATACTCCAAGAAATTTATTAAGTCGAGCAAGTACAATCAATGAAGATCCATTTGTTGCTTCATTTGAATCAATAAAAATAAATGATATAGATCAGAAAAGTAAGAATTTAATGAAATATATTTAAGGATTATGTAAATGAAATTTTATTAGATTCTTATGGTTACAATATTTCTGATAATCTTCGTGAACGTATTCAAGATGAACATTTTCGAGAATCTGTTTGTTCTCTAATCAAGTATGTTTGTATCATTTTGAATCTCAGTTACTAAATGTATGTTGGGATTGAAAATTTTTGTATACATACTTTGCTAAAGATGTTGACCAATGAAATGTATGCATACATAAATTTTTTAAATCTACAACACATATGATAAGGATTGTTGGTTAAAGAATCTCTTTATTAGACTTCTACTTCGTCGTGGTGCTAATCCTTCACTTAGTGATTGGCCATTACCAGTTCTTGCTCTTGCTGTTCGAGCTGGTGATAAAGATATGGTTGAATTATTACTAAAGAAAAAAGCTCAAGTTAATTGTCGATTAAATGCTGCTCGTCATGCTTCTTTAACTCCATTACATATTGCTTGTGGTTGTGTAGCACCAAATGCAATCGATATTGTTCGACAATTATTAGAACATGGAGCACAAGTCAATGCAGAATCATTACCAGGTGGTCAAGAATATTTATCACTTGCTGATCCATTAATTGTCGATATATATAGAATAGTAAATAGTTTTTATATTTCATGAAAAAAATTTCTACAAAAAGAACCATTTTAGAATGAAGCTGTTCCACATGGTCGTACTCCTTTACATATAGCATGTACTCGTGAAGCAACAGAAGATACAATCTCTTTAGTTCGTCTACTTCTTGAATATCATGCTGATCCAAATGCTGTATGTAATGGTCAAACACCACTTTCACTTGCGATCATTATTGGAAATGAACCTTTAGTTAATTTACTTATCAATCATGAATCAACGGATCCATCAACTTCCCTTGGACTAGGAAATGGCAATGTATTATGTACTGTTTTATCAACAGTTCAAGAACATCGATGGACTTATGCTAAGCGAATAGAATTAGTATGCAGAAAATAGATAAAAAAATTTACTTAAACTATATTCTTTTTATCTTTTAGATCGAACGTCTCATGGCAAAAAATCCTAAAGTTCTCTATCCTATTCGATTTGGTCCAAAACATACATTAGGATCATCAGTTGATTATGCTTATCATTCTTTTTTTGCCGTAAAGAGAATGTTTAATGCTTCTTTAATAGAATAATATTTTATCTGTAGGATGCTCGAATATCACAAACTCCATATCATTCATTGTCACCTCAAGAACGGATTATTTACAAAGAAAGAAAAGAATTACTTGTTTATATAGCTAAACGATTTCGAGAAGAAGTAACAAAACGTGAAAACTTTTTGCGTTTACCAACACCTGTAACTGGTATACAGAACATTCACACATTTTACTGTGTTAAATTCATTAGTTTTTTTTGTCAACCTACAGAACGTCCAAGTCGAACACCAAGTGTAACTATGTTTTTACAACGTACAATTTCTCGTAGTCGATCATTTATGACAGAAAGATCGGGTGATATTAATTCAAAGTAATAATAAATACATTTGATTTCTTATTCTATTGAAATATTTTAGAATAAGTAATGAATTTCATTATTGTGCTACATGTGGTCGAAGTACAGGTGTTCGACTTACACTTTGTAAACGATGTCAACAAGTATACTTTTGTTCAAAAGCATGTAAAGTAGCAGGATGGAATGCTTTTCATCGAGAGGAATGTCATATACCAAATCAAATCGATGAAGAAGATCGACTAAGTATAATATACATTTCATTATTAAATAATATGAAAATATTTGTTTTTAGATACAACAACAATGACAATGTCATCGAAAAATAGAGTATGTATTGAATTTCTTAAGGTTTATCTTTGCTTCGTTGTTCATACATATAAAATAAAAATCAATTATAGTTACCGAGTCTTCGTCCCAGTACCCATCAAACCGATTTTACACAATTTCAAAGTGTTGATACCAGTGGAACACGTGCTGAGGTTTATGATTCTCCATTCTAAACTTTGACTGTTGTTTCTTTTTTTTTTCACTAGATTGGTTTTTGTTTTTTTCACAAAACTATAATATACACGAGAATTTAATCGAGAATTCATTAAGATTATAAATCTTATTTTGAATATTTTATTTTAGAATTTCACAGCTTTGGATGGTGCTTTATTCAAAGAAAATGTTTTATATGTTCAAACTCCGCCAAATACAAACAAAAATAGCCGATTACCAACTCTTTCAGCAGCAAAATTAATACGTCAAAAACGATTGAAAAAAATGGGAAAATCAAGCGGAAATTTCCCACCAACATTACCAGCTTGTTTGGAAAGTATTCCTTTATCATGGAATACTATGTATAATGCACCGGAAAATTATAGCTTTAATTGAACTGCCATGGGCCTTATATTTCACCTCATTGGTATTTGACGCCTTACTAGTTATCACGACGGTGCTTAAAAGATTATTATTATTATTATCTGCTTGTTTTTTAAAGTGTGAAATATTCAACCAAAAAACAAATTATAAAAAAAAGTTTTCTTTTTGCACATTTTTAAATTTGTTTTTAAAAAGAATAATTACCTGTACGAAAATATATTGTATTTTCATACATAAGAATATAACAAATCAACTGTTGTTGCTATTTTGTTTCAAACTTTCAGTTGTTTTATGTTCTCTTGGTTTAGTCGTTAAACAATAACACAATACGAATGAATAAATACGGAGAAAATGATCGAAAAATACATATCAAATTCAAAGTAAAGAAAAATAGATTTTAATGAAGAAAATACTTGGAGAAAATAAAATTGATGCTCAACCAGACGGCTCCATCTATTCATGCATTAGCTATTGAATATATCTACCACATTTTTTAAATATCTCGACGAACCTAATAATGCTTCTTTTAGATCGACGAAATTTATATACGACTGAATGCACAATCATAGACAAATACTATCCATTTGTTGTACGCTACATTGTTATATTCTAGTAAACGTTCTACTATATGCTTAAAATAGCTATTTTAGTTATTATATGTTTTGTTTTTGAAATCATAGATATTATAGCATATTATTTTCAGCCTGTTCTATATCATCCAAGAGTAAATAAACAAATAGACCTTTTAATTTTTCTTTAAAGACTAAGATGAGTTATTTGGTTATCTATAGTGCATTACGAAATGATTCTTCGAGTAACAATGATAAACAAGACTTTTAAATTATTAATGAATTTCCAAATAATTAAGATTTATTGTATGATCGGAAATAGCCTAAAGTCAATATCTTTAATGATATCATGCTCTAATACAGAGATAGTGATGTCTAACCTAAGATACAAGAAATGAAACGAGAACTTTTTATTTTCAAATAATTATTAATTAGACTCTGTTCCTATACGCAAAGGTCGACGCTATAATTTTTATGTCTTCTTAAACCATTGTTTTCTTCAATATGCCCTTTTCTCTTCTATTAAGTGACGATACATAGAGTAATGAGGCAACTATTTCAACTGAAAAATAATCGTTGAATTCAGACTCTGTGCATCAGGCAGATTCCAGTGAGATATGAAGTGTCTTAAAAAGATAAGTACACTTAAACCTTCCTTTTCAGAGTTATAGCCATTTTTCTGGAGTTTTAGACTATGGCATGGTATGTACCGACAAATTGAAGGAAGGCATTTCGATTTAAAACTTCGTCCACAAATAGATCTAGTTGAGACTAGGATGTTCTAGAAATTTCAGTTCGAAAACATGTTTCCTTCGCGAGATATTGAATTTTTGAAAATGTGAGATTTTCACACCATTCGTAGGATATGAGTAATTTTTGAAAATTCAATATCTTGTGAAAGGAAACAATATTTTTAGCTAAAATTTTCAGAACATTCTAGTCACAACTAGATCCATCTATGGGTAAAATTTCAGACTTGAATACCATCATTAAATCTGTTGGTACATATCGTACCATAACCTGAATTATGAGTAAAATAGCTATAACTCTGAAAAAAGGATGATCTAAGGACGTGTGTCCTTTTGTAAAATTTCATATTCCAATGTAGTCTATCTTATGCAGGAAGTCCGAACTCAAACATGATTTATTACTTGAAACGATTCTCTCGTACGATCAGTGAATGAATTGTCTGAGAAGCACTTTTTCTTATAATAAACACGAGTAGCTCAAATATCTTTTTTCTTATCTTATTCCTGTTATCAGAATCCAATCAATCATCGAAGAATCAATTTGTAATAAATCTACATGTTGAATAATTTTCAGTTTCATGTGACTTTCTTTTTACATAGATATTTACTTCATTTAACGAGTATATGAGTACAATAATAATCAGATATTGTTATGTCTAATCAAAGCATGACAAAGTCATATGGTAAGATGAATTGTCTACTCATATGTCATGTATTTATTATTAATACTCAATAGAGACGTTTACAAAGTTGCATCTTCCAACAAACAAAATTAATGAAGAGAAAAAGTAATTTAATATATAGATTAATGCTTTGTAGAACTATATGGTAAGACAAGTCTTTTTTGCGTTTTATCATTGAGGTAATATTTTCATAAAGAATAGAACTCATTATATCAAACCTTTTATTGATTCATCATAGATCTATTATTTATACTCAATATAGATAGACATCAAATTTAATGTTGTCTAGTATATAATATTATATTGATCATTACGTTGTTTTTTCTTTCGTAAAAATAAGCCTGTCAAGACTTCATGGGCAATCTGTTTTTCCAAATGAATGCACTGTGTTATATCATTCATAGAAAATCATGCACGAAGCAAGAATAAAATATCAAATGGAACAAAGCATTAGATAAAAGCCTCGATACATGAGAAGACCTGAAGACGTCTATTCTGTCTAATGGTTAACGAATTATATTTAAATCTTCTATTAAATGTCTCAAAAAAGACATACATTGCGATAATCTTAACGGCAGGTTCTTATTATAACTTTTTTTTTTCTATTTGATTATTAGTAAATGAGCTTATTTTAGTATTACGATGCTTGTGTAATGAAATTAAAACGGATAATATTTTAGTACAAAAAAAAAGAAAATAGTCCTTGGTAAGAAGAATGTTTTTTTTTTGAAACAATCTAAAAGGTTGATACGATTTATAATAGAAATACTTTTTTTTTCTCAGAAATAGAATCATTTGTACGCAACAGTTATCGTTCCATAGAGTTAAGTAGTTGAGAAAAGAAAAAACTAGAATATTTTAAATAAATACTATTTAAGACAGATCATTTTGCCCAGATTCAATTAGTTAAAATCGAATCGATTCAAAGTAAAATATATTACCAACTTACCTAATAGTCCGTAGTTCACTAGAATAATTATAGTTATCTACAAAGAAGCAATTTCTATAAAAAAAGGGACTTTCTCAATATATGTTAAGGATGTTTTTTACGGTCCTGTGAACCTGTTTCGAAAAATATATATTTTACTTTAAAAAAAAAATTTGTTCTCAAAGATAGAAAGTGTACTCTAAGAACATGTTTCAATGTTTGTTCTCAGAGATATATTTTATTCTTAGCAAAGAACGTGCTCTGCTGTGCCATGGTCGTATTAAAATTTTCAGAAGAAAGTGCACTGAGAGACCATAGCTTTATCTAATAGATGGAGATATTTTACTGGATTAGGTTCCTATTGGTAAAAGATTTTTATCATTTATGTCATTTTTAGAAGTGCGTACTGCATGACTGATGTCTAATTATTGTAAGAGTGAATTTTTTGTAAAGGAAACATAAAGAAAACGTCGAAGTACTACGAGATATGGCTTTACTGAAGAAATGTTTTTTGATTAATTATTACTTTTTACCAGTTTTTTTCTCAATTGTTCCATTGCGAGGTGATATAACGCTAAGATACCAAAAAAAAAAAATACCGTTTATCTTGAACTTTCATATTGATGTGTACATATACTCTAAGCAATGAACTACGGAAATTATTAAAAAGTTGATTGCCAAAGGGATTGTATTAAACTAGCTTTTTCCTTTCTTTATTCAAGGGAGAAAGATTTTCTATTATGAATAGATGTTCTAATTGCGTCGAAGAATTTATTTTTAGAAAAAGAAATAAGACTTTTTACTTGAAAGAAGTGTACGTCATACATCACTTTTTTTGTGTTGAATGCAAAGAAAACATCCGTTGGAGTTGGTGTCACAATTTAAAATAATCAACAAATAGTATTCTGTCATTGGAAAATAACAAGAATCTATACTTATTTAAGTTGTTTGAATTAATAAAATTTTTAATTGATTTTTGAAGAAAAATTTATTTATACGAAATTTAGACTTTAACGATATATACACTCATATTATCTGTACTTCGTTTACGTAAACATTCATCTAGTAATTGTGATGCAATATCTGCTAATTTAGTTTTTGATGCTCGATGCACAACGAATAAAGCAACATCTTCATTTGTCATTACATCCCAAATCCCATCACATGCAAGAATAATATATGATGCTAAAGAATTTCTTGGATATTCAACAATATCTGCCATGGGTGGAACAACATGTTTATCCATAGCAAAATCTCCTAATACACGAGTCATAGCTAATTGATTTTCTACACGTAAAACACCACCGATACATGATTTAGATATTTTACCACCAGCTTCATGAATACGTTCTTGTTCAGCGGGATCTTCAGGTGTATGATCTAATTGTATTTCATAGAGAAATTAAAAAAAACTCCATCTAAATAAATAATATTTACCTGCGGTATGTGCTAAAACATGACCATCATTAGAAATAATAATAGCACGAGAATCACCAATATTAATTAAATATATTTTCTCAGGACTAATAAGACATGTTATCTAAATATTTCGAGTATTTCTTTTAAAAAAAAAATACAATTATCTTTAAAACTTACACATACACAACCACTATCATCTTTAACTAATTTTCTTAAATCTTTGTCTAATTCAAAATATGTTTGTTTAATGGCAGCATGCAATTGATCAAGATCAAGTTGTGATGAACAACCAGATCCATCAGATGATTTCACACAATCATTTTTCTTATCAAACATGTGATTAAGTGTATTTAATAAATGAATATGAAGTTGTTCCGATGCATTTTTTGCTGTATCAACACCTTTAAAGAACATATGTTTTTTTTTTTTTTATTATTAAATATTTCTTTTTCTGTATTCTTACCATTATGACCATCAAAAATAGCAAAATATGACCAAGATTTCCATGCATGATTATCCAATGGTATTAAATCTTTATGTTGATCTTCCATAGTTGATCGCCATCCTTGCATTGCAGCAAAACCAAATGTGGAATCATGAATTAATACTTTTTCTAACTGTGGCTTATCCAGAAAGTATTTAGCTAATTCATTGTGTTCATCTT